CACTGCCAGTACCTCCCTCCAGGTGAGGCTGCATCCTCGGTTCTCCTACAGCGACAAGCTGAGTGAGGGGTGTTCGTCCTGCCTCTGCTCCCACGAGCTGGGAGCTAGTCCTGAGCTCTGGGCAGGGGCCGCCCCCCAGGTGTTGCTCCCCAGATGTTGCTCTCGGTGCTGCCCCCTAGATGTTGCTCCCCAGATGTTGCTCCCCAGATGTTGCTCTCCAGATGCCGCCCTCCCTGTGGTGAATGATGCTCCGGTGAACACGGGGTAGTTGTTTTGTTTCCTCTGGCTACGTACCCAGAAGCGGGACTGCCGGGTCACGTGGTAGTTCTGTTTTTAAGTTCTTGAGGAGCCTCCCTACTCTTTCCACAAAGGCGGCACCCATGCCCAGTCCTGCCGGCCGGCAGGGCGCGGCTGCTGTGGGTTCCGCACACACCTCACCAGCTCCCCTGACGGTGCCGTGGCCCCCGCAGGCATCTTCAAGAGCTCCTGCTACATCGACGTGCGCTGGTTCCCCTTCGACGTGCAGCAGTGCAAACTCAAGTTTGGGTCCTGGTCCTACGGAGGGTGGTCCCTGGACCTCCAGATGCAGGAGGCGGACATCAGCGGCTACATCCCGAACGGAGAGTGGGACCTCATAGGTGAGCCCCGCGGGGCGGGAGGCCCGCTGCCCGGGAGGGAGCGGCTTTATTCTCGGGCTCGCTTAGCGGCCTGGGATTTTCCACTCTGCGTTTCGGTGTATTTACTGCACCCTGCGGCACTCGCCATGATTCCCCGAGGGCGATAGGATCAGCCGCAAACGCAATGAGAAGATGCGGTGCCTCCTGGGGGGACTGTGGTAATGACCATTTAAATGAGCCGGTGCCAGGAGAGGCATCTGTACATCCTGCAAATCTTCTGTTCCTACCATCACGCTGGACAATTGCATTTATACTGGCGTAAAGTTTACGGTGTGTTATTTATCGTCATGGCGACCTAGTCCACTCTGGGTGGCTCATAAACAACAAACATTTATTTCTCGCAGCTCTGGAGCCCGGACGTTAGCAGATTTGGTGTCTGGCGAGGGCAGCTTCCTGATCCATGGACAGCTGCCTTCTCATTGCGTCTCCATGACGGAGGGGCAGGGAGCTTTCTGGGGCCTCCGCTACAAGGGCACTAATCCCACCCAGGAGGACTGCACCCTTATGACCTAATCACCTCTCACAGGCCCCACCTCCTGACACCACCACGTTAGGGAGTAGGTTTCAACCCACAAATTTTGGGAGGACACAGACATTCAGTTTATAGTGCATGTAATTCCAGTCCATCAAAACCCCCTGCTAAGCTGTTCAAATATCACTGATGCACTCCTAAAGAACTCTGTGGTAAACCAGGGAGTGCTCAGACACCAATTACCCAATTTTTAAAAAAAATATTTTTTATTGATTTCAGAGAGGGAGAGAGAGAGCAATATCAATGATGAGAGAGAATCATGGATCGTCTGCTTCCTGAGCGGCCCCTGCTGGGGATCCAGCCCTCAGCCCAGGGACTCGAACTGTGCCCTCCTGGTTCATAGGCCCACACTCAACCACTGAGCCACGCCGGCCAGCCCCAATTTTGGGGGGACATCAGCTCCATGGCTGTGTGTGCGTGTCATACGCGGTGCAATAAACAAGCAGGGTGATGTATGTTCCTTTCCTCCCTGCCCCCACGGAGGCATCCCGGGCAAGCGCAGCGAGCGGTTCTACGAGTGCTGCAAGGAGCCCTACCCCGACGTCACCTTCACGGTGACCATCCGCCGGCGGACCCTCTACTACGGCCTCAACCTGCTCATCCCCTGCGTGCTCATCTCCGCCCTGGCCCTGCTGGTCTTCCTGCTGCCCGCAGACTCCGGGGAGAAAATCTCCCTGGGTGAGTGCCCACCTTCCCTGGGAGCCAGAGGGGACAGGAGGGTGCGGCCTGGGTTTCAGCACCACGGACAGCGCCCGGTCCAAGGGGCTCTGGGTGCAGGGATGTTGGGGTGGAGGGCGCTGTGTGACATCACACACTGACCTCCCAGCCCAGGAGGTCTCCCTGACCACACAGGATCCTGACATCGCCTCTGGGTCGGATGCCACGCCCTCATGGGACACCCTGGCAGCCGCTGATCCTACAAGGAGGGCGGGAACACCCAGGAAGGGGCCAGTTCTTCCCTGAGGGGCCTGGGGTTTCTCCCCTCCACCACCCCATCCTGCTTTTTGTTTGAAAATAAATAGCTTTTTATTGATTTCAGAGAGGGAGGGAGAGAGGAGGAGAGGAAAGAGAGAGAGAGAAGCATCAATGATGAGAGAGAATCACGGATTGGCTGCCTCCTGCACGCCCCCCACTGGGGATGGAGCCGGCAACCCAGACAGGTGCCCTGACCGGGAATCAAACCCTGCCCTCCTGGTTCCTAGGTCGATGCTCAGCCCCTGAGCCACGCCAGCCGGACTGGCTGTTTCCTTTTCCTGCCTCATGAGACGACCTCTGCATACGAATGTCGTAAAGAAAATGACAGACACTAGTGCTGACGTCAGTGATGCATTTTGTGTGGTTCTAAAGCTCTGGCCCCTAAACCCGACTCCTCCTGGGGCTCCTCTGGAACCCCCGTCCCCCCGAAACACAGAAAACCAGGCCCTTGTGTTCAGGAGCGCCTCAGACACCGCCTGCCCTCCCTCCACCCTCTAGTTCAGCGGTTCTCAGCCTGTGGGTCGCGACCCCTTCGGTGGTCGAACGCCCCTTTCACAGGGGTTGCCTAAGACCATCCTGCCTATCAGATATTTACATGACGATTCATCACAGTAGCAACATGACTGAGGAAGTAGCAACGAAAATACTGTATGGTTGGGTCCCAACATGAGGGACTGTATTTAAAGGGCCAGAAAGTTGAGAACCGGTGCTCTAGTGTTTGGAACCTCGGGTAGGGCCCCCGTTGGTGGGAACGGAGGCCTCACGGCCGGTCTGTCTCCGCGCCCTGTCTCTCTGCCTCAGGGATCACGGTGCTGCTCTCTCTCACCGTCTTCATGCTGCTGGTGGCCGAGATCATGCCCGCGACGTCGGACTCGGTGCCCCTGATAGGTAAGGGCCTCCAGGCACGGGCCAGGGAGCGGCACCGCCCCGGCTTCCGCCCGAGGCCAGGCCTTCTTGTCACTGTGCAGGGTGGTCCACGGGCTCTGCTCACCGGGGCACAGGCAAGGGGGGTGGG